AAATTGTACATGAAGAAAAGACTGTTTCACTTCACCTATGTTCCTGGTACCACGATAAATGAACATATCACCAGTTTCAATAAGTTGGTGACAGATTTGCAAAATATGGATACAACTTATGATGATGGTGACTTGGCCTTGATGTTGTTGGCGTCACTTCCTGATGAGTACGAGCACCTTGAAACTACTCTACTCCATGGAAATGACGAAGTTTCTCTCAGAGAAGTTTGTTCGACTTTGTACAGCTATGAACAAAGAAAGCGAGAAAAACACAAGGGCGGAGAAGGAGAAGCACTATTTGTGAGGGGTCGTCCTCAAAATCAAATGAGGACAAGGAAAGGAAGATCTAAGTCAAGATCTAAACCCAGCAAAGATGAATGTGCCTTTTGTCGAGAAAAGGGGCACTGGAAGAAAGACTGTCCGAAGTTGAAGAATAAGGCCAAACATAACAATGGAAAGGCCGTAATGGATTCAAATGTAGCTGATTGTGATGATTCAGACTTCTCATTAGTTACAACAGAGCCATCAACATCATCAGACATATGGTTGATGGACTCAGCTTGTAGCTATCATATGTGTCCCAACAGGGACTGGTTCGTGGAATTTCAAAAAGGAGAATATGGAGTCATCCACACAGCGGACAACAGCCCTCTTACCTCATATGGCATTGGTTCAATAAGATTAAGGAACCATGATGGAATGATCAGAACATTAACAGATGTTCGATATGTACCGGATTTGAAGAAGAATCTCATCTTTGTGGGAGCCCTAGAATCAAAANCTGGGATAGGGTGGCGGCTAGGGTTAAACCCTAGCTCGTCTCTGATCTTTGAGACGATGAACAGGAGACGAGAGGGGGGGGGTTTGGTTTGGGGGGCTGGGGTACGAGGTTAAGTTTATATAGGGGCGGGGTGGATGGATCTGGGCCGTTCGATCAAGCCTGATCAGCGGCCTGGATCCTTTCATTAAAGGGAGACGACGCCGTTTGGTTAAGTGACGAGATTGGGTCGGTCTTTGGGTGAAATGGGTCGGGTTATGGTAAGGGATTGAGACCGTTAGATTGAACAAGATGAATGGCTCAGATCAATTGGCTTGAAACGGCGTCGTTTGACTTAAGTCGGGAGCTGCACTGGACCGTTAGATCTGTTTGATCAACGGTCCAGATCTGATAGGCTTGAAACGGCGTCGTTTGAGGGTCTGGGAGATCAGGGACCTGGACTGGGTCGTTCAAATGCTTTGGGCCTGATTTGTTGGTCTAATTTTGGGCCCAATCCGAATTTTCTTCATTTTTTTAACTTTTCTTTTTCTTCTTTTAATTTCTAATTCAACAAAATTCCTAAGTAAAATGTAAAACCAAAATTAAACACCAAAATATTAATTAACCCTTAACAACAACTAACACACAAGTTAAAATATTTAATTAAAATAAAATCACACAATGGCACATTTAAATGACAAAAAATAGAATAAAAATGCATATTTTTGTGATTTTCCTTTTTAAAACTAAATCAGGGTTTAATTAATTCCTAAATGCACAATTAACTCCTAAATATGCATGCAACGTGTATTTTTGTATTTTTCCATTAATTAAACAAGATGAACATTCACAGACAAAAATGATTATCCACAATGTCACGCAAAATTCTCAAAATTATACCCAAAGACAATTTGCTTTAATTTTTCGATTTCTTTTGGAGTAATTTTCGTGAAGCAAAAATCACGTGCTCACATTGGTCCTTTTTTCATTAGGGGGGGTCTCCTTACCTTCGTTCTCATTCAAGACCTGATCAAGGGATTTCCCCGCAGTCCGCCCTTCCTTGAATTATTCGGTCATGCAATACTTTCATAAAAGAGAAATGAATTAAAGAAATCAGTAACTGAGTCAAAGTTCTGTCTGAGTATGCTCTGTGGTTGCAGCTTGGTCTGATCTTCCACACCAAAAAGGAAATAATCTTGATTTGTGTCGTCAGCTATTAAATAATATTTGTGTCAAAATGGGAGACAATAAACAAGAAGAATCTACATCAAGTGTCAGCAATACATCATCATTGGCATCTTCGCTTATGACAAGAATTGTGTCAAATGCGAAATTTGCGGTAGAAATTTTTGACGGGTCCGGACATTTTGGGATGTGGCAAGGCGATGTTCTAGATGTCCTTTTTCAACAAGGGCTGGATCTTGCCATTGAAGAAAAGAAACCAGATGTTATTGGAGAAAAAGATTGGAAAATTATCAATCGTGTTGCTTGCGGTACCATTCGATACTACCTTGCTAGAGAGCAGAAATATCCCTACACAAAGGAAACTTCTGCAAGTAGATTATGGAAAGCACTGGAGGATAAATTTTTGAAGAAAAACAGTCAAAATAAATTGTACATGAAGAAGAGACTGTTTCACTTCACCTATGTTCCTGGTACTACGATGAATGAACATATCACCAGTTTCAATAAGTTGGTCACAGATTTGCAAAATATGGATACAACTTATGATGATGGTGACTTGGCCTTGATGTTGTTGGTGTCACTTCCTGATGAGTACGAGCACCTTGAAACTACTCTACTCCATGGAAATGACGAAGTTTCTCTCAGAGAAGTTTGTTCGGCTTTGTACAGCTATGAACAAAGAAAGCGAGAAAAACAGAAGGGCGGAGAAGGAGAAGCACTGTTTGTGAGGGGTCGTCCTCAAAATCAAACGAGGACAAAGAAAGGAAGATCTAAGTCAAGATCTAAACCCAGCAAAGATGAATGTGCCTTTTGTCGAGAAAAGGGGCACTGGAAGAAAGACTGTCCGAAGTTGAAGAATAAGGCCAAACATAACAATGGAAAGGCCATTATAGATTCAAATGTAGCTGATTGTGATGATTCAGACTTCTCATTAGTTACAACAGAGCCATCAACATCATCAGACATATGGTTGATGGACTCAGCTTATAGCTATCATATGTGTCCCAACAGGGACTGGTTCGTGGAATTTCAAGAAGGAGAATATGGAGTCGTCCACACAGCGGACAACAGCCCTCTTACCTCATATGGCATTGGTTCAATACGATTGAGGAACNGGAGGATTGCCATGAATGATGAAATACAGTCCCTTCATCAGAATCATACATGGAGATTGGCCAATCTCCGGAAGGGAAAGAAAGCAATTGGGTGCAAATGGGTATTTGCAAAGAAGGAAGGATTTCCTAACCAAGTAGATGTTCGCTACAAAGCAAGATTGGTGGCCAAAGGATATGCTCAAAAGGAGGGAATTGATTATAATGAAGTGTTTTCTCCAGTTGTAAAACATTCCTCCATTCGAATTATGTTGGCTTTGGTAGCACAATTGGATTTGGAACTAGTTCAGATGGATGTAAAAACTGTGTTTTTACATGGAAACTTGGAAGAGGAAATCTACATGACTCAGCCAGAAGGATTCAAAGTTGCTGGAAAGGAAAATATGGTGTGCAAACTTGAAAAATCGTTGTACAGATTGAAACAATCTTCTAGACAATGGTACAAGCGATTTGACAAGTTTATGTTGCAGCAAGGGTACAAGAGAAGCAAATACGATCATTTTGTGTATTTGCGCAGGCTTAAAGATGGTTCCTTTATATATCTTCTCCTATATGTTGATGATATGTTGATAGCTTCCAAGAATTCGGAAGAAATTGATAAGTTGAAGATTCAACTGAAGAAGGAGTTCGAGATGAAGGATCTGGGTGAGGCAAAGAAAATTCTTGGCATGGAGATAATAAGAGATAGACGTTCAAAGAAACTCTGTTTATCTCAGGAAGAATATTTGAAGAGAGTACTACAACGTTTTGGCATAGATGACAAGACTAAGCCAGTTAGTACTCCACTTGCTCCCCATTTTAAGCTAAGTACTACTAAGGATGAAGCTGAACGAGAGTATATGTCAAAGGTACCATACGCAAATGCTGTTGGTAGCTTGATGTATGCAATGGTCTGTACGAGACCTGACATTTCACAAGCTGTTGGAGTTATTAGCAGATATATGCATAATCCAGGAAAGGAGCATTGGCAAGCTGTGAAGTGGATTCTACGGTATATTCATAATACTGTAGATGTCGGGTTAGTTTTTGAGCAGGAAGACAATCAGTCTGTAGTTGGATATTGTGACTCAGATTTTGCGGGTGATCTGGACAAAAGAAGATCAACTACTGGTTATGTGTTTACTTTTGCAAATACACTAGTTAGTTGGAAGTCTACTTTGCAGTCAACAGTTGCTTTGTCTACAACAGAGGCAGAGTACATGGCTATTACAGAGGCTGTGAAAGAGGCAATTTGGCTTCAAGGATTGCTAAAGGAGCTTGGTATTGAACAAAAAGGTATCACAATTTTTTGTGATAGTCAAAGTGCTATTCAATTAGCGAAGAACCAAGTTTATCATGCAAGGACGAAGTACATTGATGTTCGGTATCATTTCGTACGAGAAATTATAGAAGAAGGTGGAGTCACGTTGAAGAAAATTCATACTACGAAGAATCCTGCTGATATGCTGACAAAAGTGGTGACTGCGATCAAGTTTCAACATTGTTTGGATTTGATCAACATTGTCGAACACTGAAAATTGAAGATGAAGACACAACCAAAATTTATTACCGAGAGAAAATTGAAGATGTGGAATCTTGCCAAGGTGGAGATTTGTTGAAATTGGCAAGTCCCACATCGGTGGGATAGCCATTTTAGTTAAGATTTTTTCTTATAAAAGGAGGCCTAATGTTTAGGATTTAAACACACCTTTCATTTGCCTTCTCATCTGTTAAGGCATTTGTATCTTCTCTCTTTAGTATTATTTCACTTGTATTTTGGAGTGGAATAAAATATTGGTTGTGTCCGAGGAGTAGGCAAAGTTGGCCGAACCTCGTAAATTCTGGTGTTCCTTTTATTGTTGCTTTATTGTCTTATTTATTATTTAGTGGCTGCCATATTTTTTTGGTATAGTAGTTGTGATTCATTCACACTATATACATTTGGCTTCCGCAACAGAAACAAGGTCATGATTTGGGATGATAACCAAAGCCGCTGCATCAGTGAGCTCTGTTTCCGGTCGGAAGTGCGCAGGATCAGGCTTCGGCAGGACTGCATTGTGGTAGTGCTTGAGCAGAAGATATTTGTCTACCACATTTCTAATCTGAAGTTGTTGTTTCAAATTGAAACAGTTGCGAATCCAAAGGGGCTCTGTGAGGTTTCACAAGCTGCTAGTCCACTTGTGTTCGTATGCCCTGGTCTGCAAAAGGGTCAAGTTCGGGTTGAACATTATGCATCAAAAAGCGCAAAAGTTATTGTAGCACATGACTCGGTGCTTGCATGTTTTGCTCTTATGAGGGAAGGCAACCTGCTGGCAACAGCAAGCACCAAGGGTACACTAATCCGGATTTTCAGCATGCTAGAAGGTACATTGTTGCAGGAGGTAAGGGATTATTCTCATCATTGTTTCAGTTTATTCTATATTACACATTCTTTTGTTACAAACCTGAAGTAATAGCAGCATTTCTGTTATTGTGTTTTCCCTTGCCGGGCCAAAGTAAGAATAGTTAATGGAGGGGATAATGACATTCTTACATGGGTTTGAATTTTTTTATTCTGCTGTTTTTCGGGAAGTAGCTAGTGTTCTCCAGTTGATGTTAGTTAATGTACCTTACCTATTGTCAGTCTTCCTTTATCCTGTTCTTATGATCATTCAGAATGACGCCTGATTGGCTAATCATCCATATAACATTGTACAGTTGTTCACCAACTCACTGGACTTTATTTCACATGCTCCATAATTTCCTCATTAGTTTTTACCTTGGGTTTGCAGCATTCTGATTTTCAACCTACCATTTGGTCTCTCAACCTTATAACCCCTTGAAACAAAAACTAATTTGATAGACATGGTTTGTTAGTTCTTGTTTTTCTATCTTGAATGAGTTTTTCTCCCATATTTTTAAATCTTAGATGGGTATCCGTTCATACTCAATAAAATTATTTGGCATTTTAACATAGATATTTATAAATCCTGTTAGCAATAAAAAATATTGTTTGTAAGTTGTTACTCTTTCCCTAGGAACATCATGACCTTTATTATTTCCTAATTTTCATGCATCTTTTTAAATATATAGTGAGCATATTCTACAACATGCGCTTCATATATGGGTATTGCAATCACTACCATTGAGAGCAAACTTTTGTTTCTTGCAAGGACACCTTACCTCTACACCATCCATTTTCGTTATTTGTCTATTCATCATCCTCTTATTCCCGTCATCCATGGAGTATAATAGTATAATATTACTTACCTTCTCATTTATAGTGATGAATCATAAGGGGCTGAATTATGAATGCCACAGTTTTTACTTCTGTTCAGGCTCTTGAGTTCCTGCTTAATTTTTTCAGCAGTTCTTCCAAAGTATTTTAACTCAGAATGGTCCGTGGCTCAATTCCGACTTCCTGGAGTGTCTCAATACATTGTTACGTTTAGTAACGAAAAGAATACGCTGATAATTCTTGGCCGGGATGGAAGGTTAGTTAACACTTGCAAGAACTTATGTGTACTATAATATAATCTTCTTTGCATTGTTTGCCACCTAAAAATTTGATTTCTGTCATTGTGTTATAAATAGAATTGTATTTATGGTGAATGTCTATATTTAGAGAGATTCTAGGGTTCATTGCTTGGTGGCTAAGTCAGCCTCTCCCTATAAATAGAGGGTTCTATTCTATTGTAATTTATCCCAAAATCAATAAGAATTGTCTCTCCCTAATTTTCTTGGCAATACGCTTCTTCTTCTTTTATTGTTTCATAACACGTCATCAGCACGAGACTCTAATCAATTGAGTAGAAGCTTTGGGATTGATCATAATGATTGTCAATTGTTCTATGAATTTCCTTCATGCTAAAATTCTGGATTTAAAGTAAGTATTTTACCGTATTTTTCTCTTTTTTTCTATAATTTGATTTTAAATACAAGCAAAGACAATAAATTTTGATTACAACTCTAATGGAGTTTGTAAGAAATTATAACCACCTGAAGTGGTAAAATTTCTATGTCTTGCCATGATCAAAGTCATGTATGATCGTGAGCACAAGAAGTGAAAACCCGTCCCATTGAATTTGCTCCATTCTCATTCCCTTAAGAGAATGTGATAGCAATATGTGATAAGTCTGAAAGAAGACAAAATTATTACCGTGAAGGTATCAATGGATGTGGACGTGGCAATAGACGAAATTATAATCGTCATCATTGTGATAATGAGAATAATAAGGATTCTCAAAATAATCCTTCACTCTGTGAAAGTAATATTTGTCATCGATTTGACATGAGATTTTATAAAGCACATATAGATGATTATGGTTCATTCATGATGTGAATATGACAACATCTGATTTATGAATACATATTCATTCTTCAAAGAATATGAACGTGCTAGTGGTAGGGAATATACCGCACTCACCTCTAAAAGGAGGTTTGAGATAATATAAGAAAATAATGTCATTATTATGGCATGAATGGTCATTGGTCACGTACCTATTGTACGCCAAAATATTTTGGCAATGTGATTATTAAAGGACAACAATAATGCAAGAAACATATCTTGCGTATAATTTTGACCATAACCATAATGGTATAATTTTCTCCTTAAAAGAGATATTCACCATATGGATGCTGATGAATATGTGGTAGTACTAAATTAATTGAGAGCTCTGGAAGAGCCAATTATTACTATTTTGGAGACACACAATTGATTACCAATAAGGTATTGTGTTGTAGTAAGTCTCAAAGAAACTTATTGAGTTTCCAAAGTATACACGAAAGCGGTTGATTAAATTGAGACTATAAATAAAGGAAAGATTTAATATCTTCTATTACTACAACTTGTAGCGGGGTAATATGTATGTGAAAAGCTACCCGCTTTATTCTCCAATTTGTACTACATAAATAAAAGAATACCACAATGAAGTGGATATTTATTGATATAAAAACCCATATCATAATAAACTTGGAGTTTATTGATAATTGCACACGTCATGGTGTAACCCTGAAGTTTATCAATGTTGATAATTTATCCAGTTGGCATAATTGGTTTAGCCATGTTAATTCAAGTATGATGTGCAAAAAAAATAAAAGAGAATTCACATAAAGTTCTTTACGAATTCTCTTACATTGCTTGTTCTCATTAATTAATAGACCAACTAAAATTGGGATTGAATATTTGAATCCCATGAATGCTGGAAATATTAAAGGTGAATATGGGCCCATTCACCTGCCATGTATACCACATAAGATGCATCTATGAGATGGTTACATGTACGATTATTATTAACCCGCAACATGGTGTTTGCGGGGTAACTTGCTCAATACTTTGATTTAGAGCATAATTTCCAGATTTTTTTATTCAAGATAGTTCATCTTGATAAGTTGGTTTACATCAATTGTTTAGAAAAATAATTTATTGAGTGCCTCCACTTAATAGCTAAACAATTGCTTATGAGAACAACGTTTTGTATATCAATTTGATATACGTTATGTACCAAAGTATATTACATTCTCCCCCTACAAGTGGTTCATGGTCAGGAACCAAATAATTTCATCTTATTATTATTGATGTGCGGTGTATATTTTGATTAACACCATAACGCACAAAGATGGGTTCTCAAGATGTGAATTGATGCTCTCATCAGGGGGAGTTAATACGCGTTGTACTCTTTTTTCCTTACAAGGTTTTGTCCCATTGGGTTTTCCTTGCAAGGTTTTTAACGAGGCAACCAAAAGGCGTACTGTTAGATATGTGTACTCTTTTTCCTTCTCTAAAATTTTTTTCCCACTGGGTTTTATTTTAGCTAAGGTTTTAACAGGCACATTATCGGTTGAATAGACATTCAGGGGAGGTTTTATAAATAGAATTTTATTTATGGTGAATGTCTATATTTAGAGAGATTCTAGGGTTTATTACTTGGTAGCTAAGTCACTCTCTCCCTATAAATAGAGGGTTCTATTCTATTGTAATTCATCCCAATCAATAAAAATTCTCTCCCTCTATTTTTCTCCGCAATACTCTCCTTCGTTTTTTTATTGTTTTATAACAGCAAAGGAATTTCGAGAATAATTTTATGATTGGAAATACAAGGCAGTAGCATGTCGTCTAATAAAAAATGGAGGCACTTGCTTGTATGGGGGAATCATGTGAATCTACCCCAATTATATAAATTGATTAAGAATTGAAAAAAATAAAGCATGTGTCTCTTATCTTTTTTCAAAGGACACTTCATAGTCCTTTTCATATTTTCGCACTCTTAATTAGTTACACAAGTAGCAACCAGCTTTAGAAGAAAAAATATGAATTTAGTGACAACTGGACATAGAAATTATTTTCCACTTGAATTATTAGCAGCAATTTAAGAGGGATAGGAGGCAAAGAACAAAACATTTCCATTTTTTATCTGCTGCAGCGATGGTCGTTCAAGCATTAAAAAAACGGAAAAAGAATATAAAGAACAATGGAAGAAAACTTCTNGTATTTGTGGTGAATGTCTATATTTAGAGAGATTCTAGGGTTCATTGCTTGATGGCTAAGTCACCCTCTCCCTATAAATAGAGGGTTCTATTTTATTGTAATTCATCCCAAAATCAATAAGAATTGTCTCTTCCTACTTTTCTCGGCAATACGCTTCTTCTTCTTTTATTGTTTCATAACACATTGAGAATAATTATATTTGTTTTGTTTTTGAAATACAGTTATTTGAATTTGGATTTGACTGGTTTTTGGTTGGTTTTTAGGATAAAAATTTCATCAAAACCCTAAAAAGTTTTAAAGCTTTCATAAAACTAACTAAACATGTTTAGATACCTAATACTGTGATACACATCTTTTCGAACAAAAAAGTTTTGTTAGAAGATGTTGAAGACATTGTTAAGTAAACAAAAGTGTTGTAAGTTACTCTCCTTTTGGTTATTAAAAACACTAAATTAATGTAAGTGTATTCTCTCGATAAGATATATACAAATATCATCGCTCCATTCATCCCAAAAAAAAAAAAAAACTCTTACATGTTTGGCACATGAAAAAAAATAAGGCTACACACTAACAGTGTATTGGACATATAATTAAGTAAATATTTCATCTCTGACAATTTAAGATTTTAGATGATGTGTGATGATAGGATATAATTACGTATTTTAGTCGATTATTACACTCTAATTTACTGCACTTTAATTGAGTTTGAGCTTTAATCGCTAGTGTTTTGCACTAATTGTATGTTTTATGCCTTGTAGAAGTGATTCCGAGCTATATAGATGTTATGGAATGAATTCAAGTGATTTGGAGATTTAAAGTTTGAGTAAAAGTTCAAGGAATTAAGCGGGGATCGTGTTTGGGGGTCAACGGATGATAGTTAGAGCGAACGAAGACTCCAGTAGGCAGATTGCGCAG